CCCCGGCCGTCGTGCGACAATAGCCCGGATCGTGACAGTGCGACGGCGAAGGCCCTGCGTACCCCGAGCCGTTGTTATTCGATCACCATATCGCAACTCCGTATTCGTGCCCACCAATTTTCAACTTAACGTTCGGATACTTGGTGCTTCGACCGACTTGAGGAGAGAAGAAGAGGAAGAAGAAGGGACGACGACTTTGATATATATATATATAACGGCGATCGAATATATATATAACGTGGAGGAAAAGGCGTGGATGTAATAATGCTTAACAGGAGTCGAAGTCGAATCGTCATGCTGATCTCGTAGAGAAACTGTTCCCGACTTAAATGGGGGGATCCGCTCGTGCCGGCTCGGGCGGTCCACGGCGATGCGGCGGATTCCGGGAATAACGGGCCCGGGAGTAGTCGTTCGGAATGCCAACCCGTGAACCAGCGATGATACCAGTGGCGAGGGACTGCTGATCACCGAGTCGGGACGACGACGCTGTTACGATGACGCGGTTACCCGAGTTTCGCATCGATGTGGAGGGATAAGAGACGATGACGGCGTTGTAGTTTCGATACTTGTCGAGGTGCATGTTGGCGCGCAGTGACAGTGAGAATCGCGATTAAGTGAGCCGATCGAGTGAGAACAGCAGCAGTATATATTCTCCAATCCTGAGACGTACATTCGTCGCGAATCGAGGGGGAGAGTGAAGGAAANTTCCGTGTCCCCCGCGAGTAGACGGGAGATGATGGGAGACGACAGGAGCGACTCGGATGCGAATCGTTCGTTGGAAGGGGACAGGGCCGATCACCTGGATCTCGAGGATCAAAGCGAGATAAGGAGCGTGGCCCACTCGGAGGATTTGAACGTGATGGACTCGGACTGCGAGCTGGAGAGGGAGGTGGACAACAGCCAGGAGAAGGAGGAGAAGTCGAGCCCCGTAGTGCCTCAACCGATTCATCCAGGGGTTCAGAGGCCCTCTCAGGGGCCCCCTTACCTCCCCGGTGCCCCAGGCGCCCCCGGATGGAATCCCGCGGGATTCCCGCATTCCCTCGCGGGATTCGCGTGGCTACCCCCACCCCCGCACCCGCACAATCCGCATGGACATCTGTACACGCCTCACGGGGGGCCCACTAGTCCGAACGGTAAGTCCTCTGTATATCCCTTCCTTTCTCGCGTAGAGAGAAAGAGGGAGAATAAAATCGAGAATCTAGAGAATCTCTCTCTTCCTCTCGAAGGTATATCCCTTTCTTTCTCGCGTAGAGAGAAAGAGGGAGAATAAAATCGAGAATCTAGAGAATCTCTCTCTTCCTCTCGAAGGTATATCCCTTTCTTTCTCGCGTAGAGAGAAAGAGGGAGAATAAAATCGAGAATCTAGAGAATCTCTCTCTTCCTCTCGAACTTTCCTTTCCTCCAAAGAGGAAGGTATATCCCTTTCTTTCTCGCGTAGAGGGAGGGAGAACAAAACTGAGAATCACCTAGAGAATCTCTCTTTTTCTCTCGAATTTTCCTTTCCTCCAAAGAAAGAGAGAGAGAGAGAAGAGAAGGAAATGAGGGATTCGCGTGAAACGGTTGAGATTCGGCCAAAACCGTGGAATCGATTCGCGATGGGTGGCGCGCGCAACCCATTATTATTCTCGGGCGATCAAAGCGAGATCGGAATATTAGCCGTAGGGTAATGCTATACGCTTACTTATCAACTCGATTTGCTCGGCTAACTCGCCTATGAATCGTTATTCTAGTTTCTTTTTCGAGGCGCGGATTTCGAAGCGGCTTGCCCACAGTGTTGATGATTAGGGAGTGGGAGGCGGGTGGCGCAGGCCACGACACTCGTGGCACGCAGCCCCATAACGCTCGATATTAGTGTCGCCGGTCACGCGAGTACCCGGTTATTATCGGAATTACGTGCTAAAGCGTTCGCCGTTGGCCACGTAATTGAACTCTCTGGGAACGTTTGCCGCTCCATCCCTTTCCAGGGAAGAGCTGCGACACACGTTTTCCCTCGAGTTGTTTGTTGCGATAGGAGTTGAGCTATTGGTTTTCAACGAGTTTAAATGTGGATAGAACAACGTCGAGGAAATGAAGGGAGCTTCTAGAGTTTCTAGAGCAGATCGAATTCTAACCTCGTCTCCATTTTCTTTTTATGAAAATTGTCCGAGGCAATATGACGACGAAATGACGATGAAAAAAGTTGGAGGATAAGAGAAGAGAGACGATGAAGATATAGATAACGAACTTCTCGAGAAGGGGAAAGAATATCTGCATATTGTAGTAGTACGAAAGTAATGGAGGATAAAAAAAGTAATGGAATTACGACAGAAGAAACTGGAAATAAATAACAGGAGGAACAATCTTACGAGGAGAGACCACGATTCTCCTACATAATTGAAAAAATTCGTTCCTGAGTCGAAGATCGGAAGCTGCTTTCTGCGCCATAAGAATCTCGTGGAATAGTGTCACGTCAGTTTCTTTTGTTTCTCGACTTCTGCGATGTCGCAAAGAAATCGATCAGACGTTCGTTCGAGTATCTAGGCCATTAGGACGCGCGCGATCCTTCGTTTCCTGGCGAAGCAATCGTTTTCAATTCTCCTCGTCGAGGATCGAAAAATCGAAATTTCACGAAAGCTAGAGGAACGTTGGAAAACATGTTGCGCAACGATTTTCACGAAATCGATTCGCTCGAGGAAAAAATTTTCGATTTACTCGGAGTAAATCACGGTTTGTCGGGAATTATTTTCGCTTCCTGTCGCTGCGGGGGCACGTCAATAATCGGCGCGAAATAATCGATCAATTAAACGAACCCGTTTCGAATCGTTCCACCACTCGAGGAAACGCATTGTCGCGGTGCAACTCCCTTCGTCCCCCTTGCCTCTCTTAATTGACGATTTTTCCTTGACGATGACAGCCTCGCGTCAACTCTTTGAAAGACACGCGCTCCTCCACATCCAATTAACTGCCTTACCCTCTCCTGAGTCAACGAAAAAAGACATCGAGCAAGATTTCCACGCTTGCTAAACCCGATTGAAAAATTTTTACTCTTCGACCTCGTGACTTAATCTTTCTTCTAATTGCTGGCTATCAGAACTCAATTTAACTTAATTTAATTTGCATCTAATTTTGATGCCTCGTTCGCAAAAGATTATTAGTCATGTCTTCCTTTTTTTATACTATTTGCTGTCAATTAAAAATTTATTGAATATTCTATAGGAATTATTGATTTAATTTACTTTAAACTATAGTTACAAAAGCCTTTACATATTTTACTGACAATTTTCATCGAAATAACAATTCCGTTTTGTATGAAACGAATTATGAATACGTAGATCATAATAAGAAAAATTTTTTTCATCTTACATTCCTCATTGTTAATCCAAACGCTCAAAGTTCACCAGTCAACGAAAGAAGGTTCCAATCAAAGGGGAGGCTTTCAGAAATTACTATTGGCTAATGAGCCAACTA